TGAAATTTTTTTTGTCAATGCTACAGGTTTCCGGCGGATTATGCGTCGGCAAATCGATTTGAAACTAAAGAATTCTGTCGTAAACCAAAGAATTCTGTCAGATTTTACGTGTTACCGGCGGATCTGGTCCACCGGTAATAGCGTGTTTTCCTATAGTGGTTGGTGATTTTGTTTATGTCAAAGTTAACCAGATGGAAGGTGTTAGTAGATTTGAAAGCATTTGTAAGCTGAGTCCAAGATATGTTAGTCCTTTTGAGATTGTTGAGAGGATTGATAGTTCTACTTACATGTTGTTGTTTCATGATCATATGTCTGATATACACAACATATTTTATGTATCTTCATTAAGAAAGTGAGTATTTGATTCTAAAAAGAGATTATATTCTGATGATGTGGAGGTTCATCTAGACCTGCACTATAGAGAAGAGCCAGATAGGATTCAGACGTACGATGTCAGGAAATTAAGGAGCAAATGGATTTTGATGCTTAACGTGCAGTGGAAGCACATGACCGCTAGAGAGGATACTTAGAAGAAGGAATTTGAGACGAGACAATTCTGTTTAGATTTATTCTAACTTATTTTGATTTGGGAATGTTGATGGCGACATTATTTTTAGGTCGGTGGATTGTGATAACTTAAAATTTTGAAATATATATTCTAACATAATATTATTATAGTGTTTTAGTGTCACTAAATTTTTCATAATTTTTAGGCACTAGAGAAATTTATTAAGAAATTGATACATGTTAGTACAAGTGGGGGTTTTTGGACAGTTAGGAATCCAATTTGCAAATAGATTTCACCAAATTTTTTTTAAAATAAAATTAGTTAATTTGTAGATATTTTCTATAATTTTTGAAGCCCTAAAAGGATTTGAAAGAGTTTAATACTAAAAAAATTCTAATAATATTATTGTATTATTATTTTATAAGAAAATCTAAAAGCACTTAAGCCCTTAATCATTTTATCTTAAGCCATTAACTCATTCTCTCCATCGGCTCAATAGAGAAAAAAAAAATTAGAAGAAAGAGAGGAGAGAGAGAGAAGGCAGCTAGATTTTGACAGCTACAAAGCAATTTCGTTAGTCGATCTAATTGGAAAATTTGCTCATCTTGACATATGTTATATTTTGCCTATTAAAGTTTTCAATAATTTGATTTTTTTTTTTGCATTTTTAAATCAAATTTATATTTTTGTTACTGAAAAAAGATGATAACTTTGTTTTGAAAAAACTTTTATAGTGTAATTTTTTATATATTATAGAGAGTGATATTTTAATATTTTGAATTTATTTTAGAATTTTTTCACTTGGTGATTTTGAAAAAGTAGAAATCTTTCCTAATCAAAAATTTATTTTGACTTATAAAATAGTACTTCAATTCAATTAAAGCTTTATAATGATGTTTTATACAATATATGATAATTTGGTTATGTTTTGAAATTATGAATTTTTACCCAGCAGTATTTTTGTTGTCTACTGTTAGGTCATTTTGTTAATTTTTAAATTCAATCCAATTATGATTTTAATTAATAAAATGCATTGAAAAATATGAAAAAATGTGATATAATATGTTATGATGTGATGCCGATGTTACGATGCTAGTGGATGACTGATGTGGGATTCTGTTATTGAAATATTATGATGCTGGCATTAATAGGCAACCGAGGTGGGATTCTATTACTCAAGTATTGTGATGCCGGCGCCAGTGGGCAACCAAGATGCGATTTTATTATTATTGGTTCCAGTTGACAACCAAGGTGGGATTCTGTTATGCGAGTACCAGTGTTTGCCGAGGTGGGATTTTTGAAATATAAAAAATTTTGCATCTTTTGAGCTATTCTGATAATCATTATGAAGTGATTATTTATAATTCAATTAATTCTTATATGTATTTAATTATATTTAATTTCAATAAATGATTCAATTCAAAGCTCTTTTGGTTGTAGTTATTAATTCATGTTTTAGACTACGATAGTTTAGTTATCCATGTCAACTCATCCCTACTTTGGCTTTTGTTTTAAGGCCCAGGGAGGGGTAAGAAGCGAGCCGAGTAGTTTGGATAGCAAGCTTCAATCTGTATTATAGATATATTTTGGCTAGTTTTGATTTTTATAGATTTGACTTTTATTTTGTTATTCTATTTATTGTGAAGTGTTGTTGTAGATAGCCTTTAAATGATATATATTTTGAATGATATGTACAAAATTATTTTGAGATTCAATATTCTTTCATTTATATTGCATTCACTAATTGTTCCATGTAGTATATAAATTGGAAGTGTTGTTTCAGTCCTCCAACAACATATTGGGGTTAGTCTTATCACAATCGAACACAATATGACATGTGTGATATAAGGTCACATCGGGCCAGATTGTGACAATCATCCTCAATAAATTTATATATACTAGAGTCAACTAAACATCAAAAGTCTATAAAATAAATATTTAGAGTACGTAAACTACAAAATCACATCCCACAATAATCATTTATAAAAGTCCATATTCTAATACTTCCAAGAAAAATATAAGTACAATATGGGCTACAAAATTATGAATACGTTATGAACCTAGTCTTCTATTTTCTATTGAACTGGACCTACTCAACATAAACATTACCTTTTCTTGGAATGATATAACAATAGAGCGATTATATAACTCAGTTGGTCAACCCCATTTTTCCATAACAAAATTCAATGCATAATACTAAAAGAGATTAAAAAAAATCATAAGAATTCTATTTAACGTAAAATATTAGGTATATGAATGTTGAATACATATGTATTAATGCCCCTTATAGCTCCCAAACCTTCCACCTCCCATCCATTCAAGATAGGTGTAGAGCGGACAAAACCAAAACATAATATAATTCCTTATATGCATAATCAATTTAGTGCCAAAATAGAATATTCTAATACAGAGTATTTTCACCTTAGGTACAAGTAGAGATTTTTAGAGTATTTTATTTTCCATTTTAGAAACTCCATATCATGAAATGTATTATAATGCAAATGTAGCATGCAACTGAACTTTCGAAGTAAATAGCACCATGTGTCAACTTTTATTAAAAATCCCCGCATTTTAATGCCAACACGAACTGCTCAGAACTTTACCAATTTCACAGAGGTTGTGCATAATGCTAAAATTACATAATTTATTTATTGTACTGTAGTTAAAAAATGCTACCATCTTCCAAAATAATAAAAAATTCATACATAATAAATCAGTTGATGAATTTTTATGTTCTTTTAGTCAACTTGTCCAAAACAAAGAATAAAATAATATACTAGAAGTTACACAATTAAATCTTCTTAAAATTTAAGAAATATATTTTTTAAAAGTAAATCTTTCGTTATATGCATCATAATTAAAAATTTAAATGGGGGTATGGGTTCCCTACCTTGAGCTCGATAATTCTCCAAACTTATCGGACGGATGCAATTGGATTTCGGACCTCAACTATTCTCCGTTTTCCTTCTCTTTCCTTCATCTCCACTCCTTTTTTTCCTTATCAAGTTGGTGTGCGTTAGTGATTTTAGATATTTATTATTTAAAAAGTATTAATTCAGCTTAATGTCGCAGCACTTCAACCTCTAACACCACAGTGCTACTAGCAAAATTCTCCAAACTCTGCTAGATTCTCACAAACTTTCATAGGTTTCATTGTCAACACCACAATGACACTACCCAGATATAACACTCCCTCAAAACCTCATTTTCTCAATTTTCCTGAGAGCACAGTGCTAGAGCATCAACTCCAGCGCTGCAATGCTTCTATAAGAAAAAAATTAAACTTATGAATTTCTCTTCCTCAACCCAAATCCTTCAAGCATTCTAAGCTCCAAACAACATAATAATACTTACAACTGCTAAATTAATTAAAAATTACACTTTTAAGTTGATAACAACTTGAATTTCAGATGACATATATTACACCTTATTACAACAAATCATATTAGTCATGCTTTTCTCAATATCATCACCTTAACGTGTGAAAACATAGGATAACTAATTCAAGAAAAAATATAACATTAATCACGAACTTTTAGAATCATCCATGGTTAGAGTGCTGGTTTGTCACGCCAGAAGTCGCGGGTTCGAACCCTGTTTTCCCCGCCCGATCCTCCAACTTTTTCCTGCCCGACCCATTTTGTCTTCACTGGAAGCTGCTGATCCCGGTGTAGCAAAAGTTTTAAAGAAGAAGAAGAATGGGGAAGAGGAGGAGCCTCGACGCCTCACCTTTCGCACGAAGAAACGAAGAGCCAAGAATGAGAAGAAGAATAGGGGAAGAGGAGGAGCCCGACTTCTCATATTTCGCGGGAATGGGTAAAGAAAGAGGCGATATTAGGCAACGAATAAGAAATAGGTGTAAATGCATGCTTACGAAACTTACGGCGTCATAAAGAACTTAAGAAACTAATACAGTAATACTTACGGAAGACGGATAAGACGAAACTGAAGTTAATTTCGATCGTTCATTTGTTGCCAGTAAATTTAATTTATTTTATGATAATAATAGTAAATAAATGAATAATGTTAAATAAGCAGGTAACGTTAAAGAAGAAGGTAACATTAAATTTCTAAGTAATGGTATTAAATTGTGGCCAACAGATTAGATTTATTTAAAAATAATAGTAGTAATAAATGAATAAATAAATATTTTATAGAAAGTGATAAATGATAAAATTTGAAGAGTCGTATATGAACGTTGTAGATTAATTTTAAATTTATAGATGAACGATCAAGATTTGTTATGGGTGAAGTCCCAAGCCACTTTTATATAGTAGTATAGATATAAGGCAAACTCACACACACAACGCATACACAGGACTCCAATCTTGAACCTCTTAGTTGAAGCCTAAGCTTTCAACCAATAGGCCAAAGAGAATTGTGTGTACCAGCGAGGTAAATTTAATCTGAGAACTCCAACAGGTTACAACATGCCGGCCGGATTATTCGTTTAAGAATCCAACGGCAGATCCTCCGGAAGCAAAAATGCCGGATCAAAACAGTTTCCGATGGAGGATTTGAACCAAATCAGCTATTTAAGCCATGCAGTTATTGACCTTATCTCCTTCTCCCTCTTTGCCGACGACCGCTGACAGAAGTCGATGGAATCTATCCCAACGACGCCGCAGTTGCTCAAGGCGGTTACGCTGACCCATGTCCGGTATGAGCGGGGTGACTCCCTAGGCCACTTCCTTGCATGGGTCTCGCTGATCCCAGTATTCATTAGCCTCGGCGGCTTCGTTACCCACTTCTTATTCCGGCGAGAGATCCAAGTTCTCTGTTTCGCACTCGGTCTCATCTTCTCTCAGTTCCTCAACGAGCTTATCAAGTCATCAGTGCAGCAGTCGCGTCCCGAGACATGCGCTGCCCTTGAGATGTGCGACTCACACGGCTGGCCGTCTAGTCACTCGCAGTACATGTTCTTTTTCTCCGCCTATTTCTCCCTTCTGTGCCTCAGTGGCACCGGGGACGGGGCCCCCTCCCGGCGATCGAGATTCTTTATTGCCTTATTTCCCTGGCCTACGGCAATATTGACTCTCTACTCTAGGGTTTACTTGGGATACCACACCGTTGCCCAGGTTCATTCCTCTGCGGTTCTTCAGGCTTAATTTATTGTTTATCTTTCCTTGGCTGATGTTTTTTACGGTGGAATGGTCCAGGTTTTCGCTGGGGCGACTCTAGGGCTATTTCTTGGCGTGCTTTGGTTCTGGATTGTTAACAATCTGCTGGTTGATTACTTTCCATTCATAGAGGAGAGCGCGATTGGCCGGTTCCTATACATCAAGGACACGTCTCACATACCGAATGTGCTTAAGTTTGAATATGATAGTGCTCGGGCTGCTCGGAAGAAGATGGCCAGTGATTGAGAGGCTGTAAGTTGGTTCTCTGTTTGCATAGAACGTGCTATTGCCACTTTTTGAGCAAACACGTATTTTTATAGCAATTGTTGGGATTCTGGAATTAAAAGGAGATATCTTTCAAGTTGGTGTTTTTGTATAGCTATATGTTATAGTTTAGGGAGTGATTATATTATAAGAGCAATTAGAGTGATACTCATTTGAGATAAGAAAATTGAAATAAGATAAAGATTAATTGGGATCAACTAAAGGAGTGGAATTTGTGTAAAGACTTTAAACTGTGGCGGGATAGGCTTAAGATTGAATTCCATAAAGAAAACTACAGATGATTCAAATGATTGGTGGAATGAGAAATTATTGATTAATTATTTCATATTTTCTTTCATTTCTAGTAATTTTTTTTTTGTGGAATTTATTGATTTTATCATAGTTTTAAACAATTGATTTTGTGTAGGCAATATCTACCATTAATAAGTTTCTATATAATGGAATAATTCTTGAGTTGTGAGAAAAACTTGATTACATGTTTGGTTATGTGGTAACAATTGATGATAATGTTTGTGTTCTTGACCCTGGAGTAATACCACATGAGTTAATAGAATGATAAGGAGATTAATTTGATGAAAAGAGTGATGATTTGCCACATATTATACGTGTTAATAAAGTTGAAATTGCTATTAGAGATGTCACACAAATCTCATGTTGCTAGCCCATGCAATAATGGAAGGAAAAGAGTTCAACAATTTAGGTCTAGTGGAAACCTACTAGTTATAAATCATGTCAAGATTTTATGGATACTGCACGATCCATTTCCTCTGCCACTACTAAATCAATTGCTTCGCATAGAACTTTTATAGTATTTGATGCATTAGAGGAACATATTAAATTCCAAATCAGTCCCGTAAATGTTTGTATGTGGCCAGTTTAATTTCAAACTATTACATTTCTCCAATTTAGTCTCACGATTGTACATAATTGATCCAAAATGTTCATAATTGTAATGTAAAGTTGATCCCAATTTAGTTTGTAAAGGATCATTTTGGATTAATTTTGTATAATTGAGGGACTAAATTAGAAATATGTGATATTCTAAGACTAAATTGGCCACGCACATATTTTTTTACTTTAACCTAAAGGAGCTTACTAGAATATCTAAGATCTTTAATGATCTTGAATTTTATGACACCACCATTATTCATGACAAAAACTATAAAGAGACTTTAGTGGGTGTATCTAATGATAGAAAAGTATATAATTCATGAAGAGAGCTGCTTTGGGATAATCCATATGTATTATCTCAATTATTTGACTTTTGCATGAAGTTTGTTATATGACCAAAATAATTTTGTGAATCAATTGGCAAATTTGCTATGTGTTTCTTTTTGTTTTCTTATTCACTTGATTGTAATTCTTGCATTGAACCCTTTTTCATGAAGTTATGTAATATATTATATGTGATTCCAGTTTAATGAATTTTTTAGTTTTATTATTTATATTTTATAAATTTGAAAATGATCTAGAAGTATTAATATTTTTCCACTGATGATTTTGAAATGGATGTTGGACCAATTGTTGATCATATGGATTTTATTCAATTTAACAATATATTGGTCACAATAATTTGTTGGTCCATGACTATTGTGTTTTAATTTTTATACTTGGTCAAGAGGTCATGCATGACGTCAATTCATATTGGAGATAAATGATTAGGCGAGATACAATCAGGACATCCTATAATATTTGATAATATATTTAAAATTTCGCAAGAAATTTTTCTAAATTTACTTGGTGCGCTTGAATCATCTTATGGATTATATGATTTGCAAAGAATTGCTAAGGAAATGCTAGTTGGTTAGTACCTTTTTTGTTTAGTTCAATTATCTTATGCTTATGGACTTTTGAACCATATGGACATTTTAGTCTTTTATTCAAAACAGTAATAATTAGTGGTTTAATTAAACAAGAAAAATTTCTAGATTTACTTAGTGCATTTGAATCATCTCATTGAATGTATAATTCACAAAGAACTGTTAAGGAAGTCCTAGTTGATAAGTAACTTTTTTTTCTGTAGTTAAATTATCTTATACTTATGGACTTTTGAAACTTGTGGACACTTTAGTCTTTAATTTAAAATAACAACTAGTAGTTTAATCAAACAAATAACAAATGTTTCCTGAGATTCATATTGTGCACATATATTGGGCTATTCAAATAGTATCATCAGCTTTAGCCATAATAGATTTTAGACTATCTTCTCTACGATAGTTTCTCAGCCATCTTTTTCCAAAAATAACAAAGAGACAAGCAAAGTCCTAGTTGCATTTTAAATATCTTTTACACTATTCATTTGCATCGGGCTTGTTGTGTGATAGGAAAGTGACCCTGCAACTTAAGAGAAAATTCTATAAGATGGTGAAGAGATCTACAATGCATTATGGTGTAGAATGTTGGCCATTAAAAGAAAAGCATAAAATTAAGTGTTTTCAAGTGGATGACTGGCCTCACTCTTAGAGACATAATGTGAAATGAGTATATACGTGAAAATGTTGGAGTAGCTCTAATGGCAAATAAGATTAGGGAGAGTCGTCTTAGAGAGTTTGGCCCCATTTATGACTATAGATGTATTAGATTTAACTTATGTTAAGAAAGGTAGAGGTAGACCTAAAAAAGAATATATTAGAAATGATTTTTCTTATTAGATTTAAATGAGAATTTGACTTTTAATAGGACACAATAGAGAAAAAGGATTCATGGCCGACCCCCCATAGTGGGATAAAGGCTTAATGTTGTTGTTATTGTTGCTACTATTCATTTTCCAACTATAACGCACTTTACTTGATTATAATAATTACAAGGGTGTAAACAATCTTATTTGTATTGAGTGTTGTCTTTCTTTGACTCTTTTGTTTTATTATACTGTTAATGAAGCTAGAGTCCAGCTCAAAAATTGCTCAAGTACAGAAAACCTCTTTCATCTTGTTCATTCAAGTTCTTAAAACCTCTTTCATCTTGATCATTTGATTTTTTTTTTAATATGGTTAAGCTTCTATAGACTTTGAGTATTAATTGAATTTGATTCTATTTACTAGAGCTGAGAATAATTATGGCTTTTTTTGGGCTGTTGTGTGGTTGGGAGTTGGGACCATTGCTGCAGTGCCTGCATTCTCAACTTCATTTGAGTGGGCATAGTCATGAACACCAGTTTTTATGGTAGGTGAAGCTAACTATTGCTGTGCACCTAAACATCACACGCAGAACATGGTTGATGAGACTACATCGGGGCCTCTCCCAAAATGAGGCCTCTTTCTTTTTACCTATCATCTTGCATGAATTTCTTCATGCTTGTTCATAAAGCTTGACATAATCAAAATAGACCTTGTAGAGTATATGGCACTGAGATATGCAGTAAATACTTGTCTGATTTGTGATATAGTTAGAAAAGTAAAAAAATGAAAGCGTCTTCATTTGATGTCGGATAGATCCTAAGAATTTCTTTATTGAGTTATAGATATGAATATCTAATTTGAATTGAGAACTATCTGGTGATCGTCAAAACTGGGCAAGCTAAGATACGTTGTCTAATCTAAGAAAAATGCTTAGTAGAGAACCTATAACAACTGTGCTGAAATGAAAGATACGCTTAAAAAAAAAACTCCCATTCTTATATCATGCGGTTTTGATTCTTTAAAATAAGGAACACAAAACTATTACTAAATACATGAATTATTTTGAGGTGTTATTGATGCATTCTAAAATTGTTGAATATCCAAAAATAATACTTTGTAGGTTTAGATATGATTTAGGTCCTGATATTAAATGAAAGACAACACATCATTTGAGCATGCTTTCAAAATTGTATTAGATTTTTTAGCACGTATTGAGGTTTCTTACCACAAAGAGATTCCTTGAAGTGAGAGATTCCATGCATATGCTAGAAATATTTCTTTATCATCATAATTGTCACGACCCGGCCCGATTAGCCCTATTTAATGGGGTGAGAACTGACGGTCTTACGGTAGTTATAAAAACTTAACACATTTATTCTACAATTATCATAAACAAGAATAACCATCCATTTATAAAATAAGAAAGAGCCACTAAACTTCCATTTAAATCATCTGATTTACATCAACACAAACAATTTCTCAAAACATAAAATGAAATCACTATAGTAGTCCATGACACATCAACTAACGTAATACATAACATAACCATGAAAACCTATTTCCTTACACTGCTCTACATTGGCATGTAACATGTCTATCAACCATCAATCTCTAGCAGTTTCTCCTAAAAAAAATTCCCGTAAGCAGGGATGAGCTAATGCTCAACAAGAAATAAATATCTCATTTAATTTCATAAGACAAGAAAATAAGAAACATTATGCTCATATGACAAAATTGAAACAACTTGGAGGAAAAAATATTATAATGCAAAGAATTTATCTTACATATGCATAATCCATATATCATTTTAAATGTCCGTTTTCTTTAATCATAACATACAATCATAACCTTTTTCATTTTTCTATCTTTGCTTAAATTTTTCTTTCTTATCCTTATATGTATAGAAGCATAAAATACTTAGTCTTATTTGTATACATTCATCCCGGAAGTACCAATAATTTTATACTAATTAGGTATACATTCAAAATTGGCCAAACATTTCATTTCATTTACTTCGAAGAGTCCTTTACCAATTTGTTTCGATGAGCCCTTTACCATTTGCTCCGAAGAGCCCTTTATCATTTGGTACACCGGATCATTATGCTCATTCAATCATTCAATGCATATCATAGAAATTAAATCATTCATGAATTCATATATGTTTGTTTGATAATGTTTCATGTTTGTCTAATATTGTTTCATGCTCAAATGTTCTCCTGAAATTTTACATGTTACAACTAAATAATTCGAAAATGAAATACATGCGTGTTGCAGTATGAATTATAAATAATTAACATAAAACTTTTAACTAAAATAAAATATTAAAGCATATGAAATTTTATCATTTAA